GCCCGCTTTGCGTGTGCATCTACCTTCCACACATGTGCTTGACCTTCCACGCATGTGCTTTGCTCGCACACCCGCCTTCTGCACATGCACCCGGCCTCAAAAACGTGCCTAAATAGGACGGCATAGAGCCGGGCAGGTGGGCGGGCCCACCTGCGATTTCCGCTACCGATACCACCCTACTCCCGAAGGACTCAGGGCGGTAAACAGCCAAACAGTAAAAATACATAGATACAAAATTTAAAAACAAAGTAACATCGAATTAAACAATTTGGCCCAGATTCACCCAAACCGGTTCAAACCGGCTGAATACCACCTCTGAAAGACTCCCTGCATTGCTCTTTTTCTACTAAAGACTAGTCAGACCATAATAGTAAAAGTTAATTAATTTGATCCTCCTACCAAGGAGAAATTCGAACAATGTGTGTGGTCTACCAAATCAGACAAATAACACAAGAGTTCATTCTATCTCTCTCCTCCCTTTCAAATTTTGAAGTTTTTATTTTAGAAATCTTGTTTGACAGAGGGATTTGTAATCCTCTGAAGAACATTCTGAGCATGCTAATGTCACAATGAGCCAATAAAATCTGGATTAATTTAATCTTGATTGTAAAGACACACAGTTAAACAGAAATTAAAATAAGCCAAAAATTAGAAACCACAAGCTCGTTCTTAAAGAGCTTCCTTTGCAATTTGAAGCTCTGAGTTCTTATATTCCAATATATACTTCCTTGCTTTTGACAGAATTAAAATTTTTAAAAACATCATTTCCTCAAAAGCTAAATAAAAGACAGGGGCATGTACAAGAGACTTCACAATATTGAGGAAGAACTTCATCCGCTATTTATGTAGGAAATGAACTGACCATACTGGTAAACAGGAAATAAATCATTGGTTTATTTTATTGGTGGTTTCTTTTTCTTTTGTAGAAGCTGCTGCGGTATTAAACGCATTACTGCTATTAACCCTTAACTTCTTAAGGCACCCTTCATAACCTGTAGCGGACTACATCTTCAGGAATATTATATTATTGTAAATAGGCAGGCTCAAGGCACCTGTGCAAATTCAGATACTTTATTTAATCAACAAAGCAAGACTACCACTAGGGAAATAGCAACAGCCAGGTATTCTTTCCTCAAATGAACTTTTATTAAATCCTTGACGTTTTAGAACTTCTATTTAAATTCCCAACACATGCAGTTTAGAAAAGGGTCATAGCGAGGAAATGTGAGCACAGGTAATGTGCAGATAACTGTGAAAGCTAACAAGAGGTATCTATTATTTTCAACACCTCATTGTGTAAGGCAAAGAAATTCCCAGATGTATCCAATGCCAGCTCAGACAAAGAAAAGGTGTGAATTGCAACAGCAAACAATTACAACTACCATTGTTGCTAACACTATTTAGCGATTTGTATTTGTTATCTAGGTAACAAGTGATTTTTCCATCATAGTGGATCTCTCCTTTCTAATAAAGGAACGAATGCATCATCACCTACTATTAAAAATGTGTTGCAATAAATTGGGCTATGCAGACTGCATCTTCAAAATTGGCCTATACAGGTAGTCCTCGACTTACAACAGTGACCATTTAGTGACCATTCAACAGCACTGAAAAAAATGACTTATGACTATTTTTTATATTTATAATTGTTGTAGCATCCTCATAGTCAGGTGTTCGAACTTCGAAGTTACAACGGCACTGAAAAAAATGAAAGGAGTGACTTATGACCTTTTTTCACACTTACAACCATTGCAGCATTCTCATGGTCACCTGATCTAAATTCAGAACTTGGCAACTGACTCATATTTGTGACTGTTGCAGTGTCCCAGGGCCATGTGACCACATTTTGCAACCTTCTGACAAGCAAAGTCAGTTCACTTAAATTATTATTATTACTAATTTAACATCTGCAGTAATTCCCTTACCAACTGTGGCAAGAAAAATGTCGTAAAATATGGCAAAACTCTCTTAACAAATGTCTCACTTTAACAGAAATGTTGAGCTCAGTTGTGGTCGTAAGTTGAGGACTACCTGTATTAGGGTTAGAAAGGAAATGAGAAGGAAAGAAGCAGGACAAGTTCATTAAATCATGATGTATATGTATGTGTGTGTGTGTGTGTATGTGTTGATATGTTAAGCAATGCAATTTTGATTGAAGGAAATTAATGGAGTAAGATATAAAAAATACAATAATTCAGTATAAATAGTTCTCCAATACCCAGATGAGGGACGTGGTGGCTCAGTGGCTAAGACACTGAGTTTGTCGATCAAAAGGTCGGCAGTTCAGCGGTTCGAATCCCTAGTGCCACATAAAGGGGTGAGCTCCCATTACTTGTCCCAGCTTCTGCCAACCTAGCAGTTCGAAAGCACATAAAAATGCAAGTGGAAAAATAGGGACCACCTTTGGTGGGAAGGGAACAGCGTTCCGTGCGCTTTTCAGCGTTTAGTTATGCGGGCCACACGACCATGGAGACGTCTTCGGTCAGCGCTGGCTCTTTGGCTTTGAAACGGAGATGAGCACCGCCCCCTAGAGTCGGGAATGACTAGCACATATGTGCGAGGGGAATCTTTACCTTTACTTAATATCCAGATCTCTCTTTCGACAAAGATTGGCTTTATTCTCATCATTTCCTTTTAAACTTTGGACCAGAAATCTCATTTACTGAAGGTGAACTCCAACCTTCCAGTTTCTTAATGTTTGTCTTTACTGTCTCCATGAAGAATATCTTACTATAGCACAACAAAGTCTGGTTGTATTTTTTTGCCAGGAAAATACTATTATAACATGATGAAGAAAGAGTTATCACCACCATAAAAATTACTTAAACTTACACCAGAATGTGAACTGGGTTCATTCTCCTTAAACAGAGCGTATCATGGTTTAGATCCTAACGTTACATTTATAGAAGATGACATTTACCAAAATATTTTTTTTCAAGCCAGGTGCTGAAAATAGTGTAACTTTAGCTTTTTAAAAATACAATAATTATAATTCCTGAATTGAAAGCAAAGTCTAAATGCACAGCTAAAAGGACATGAAAGTGCTTTCCAAAAGGATGTAGGTTGGGCTATAAATTAAAATATTTTTAAAATACTTGCCACGGATAATCTATGAGGAAACACTTGCATAATTCTAGTAGAAATTCTCCCATATTTTAATAGTATTTGTGTGAAATAAACCCTCTCTTTTTGGGCCAGAACCAGGTGTGAAATCCAGCAGGTTCTAACAGGTTCTGGAAAAACGGTAGCAGAAATTTTGAGTAGTTTGAAGAACCCGCAAATACCATCTCTGGCTGGCCCCAGAGTGGGGTGGGAATGGAGATTTTGCAACATCCTTCCCCTGCCACACCCACCAAGCCATGCCCACAGAACCGGTAGGGAAAAATTTTGTATTTCACCCCTGGCCAGAACACATATAAGAGAGAAAACACAAATTGTGGAGGTATGTTACTGAAGTAAATGTTAATGAGTAAAAAAGGAAGAATGAAATGTTAGTCTTCTCTTAAGATATGATAGATGTTGTATCTATTCTCAGTGGCTCTGCCTCTACAGACATAATTACCTATTAACCTGCTACTATTTATACCACTACTTACACTGCAAACTTTATCAGGAACTGAGCTAGATTTATTACACCCTTGCTAATCCAATTGACTCAATCTAGTTCAGAAGAAAAAAAAATCTAATTTTTGTTGTCTGATGAAAACAAACAGAATCAACAAGTTGCATTATTTGCAATGGCTGCAAGGAAGATACTAAAGGACACCCTCACAATTAGTATTAATATTAGAGGGGATGTATTGAACTGACGTGATCGCTATAATTTTATATGTATTTTTATATGTATACGTACCTATGATTGGAAATAGTAGTAGTAGTTGTGTTAACCTAAATCATGGTTTATTCAGTCAGCCACATTTTTGAAGGGTTTGCACAACACAGTGAATTGTAAACTAATGAGCTGAGCTGGATTTGGACGCTATGCTGCGTTTGACTGGTTTATAATTGAGTACATAGTATTGTATAAACACAGTCTTATTTGGATAAGAAAAGCAGGATTTTTTTCAGAGTGATACTAAAGCTGACACCATTATTAACCAAAATTACTCACGCGCTTTGTGCGCGCCACGCTATTTATAATGTAATTATGGTCAATAGGTGGTCAACTTGTATCTGAAAGCAGTGCAATCCATTTGTAGATGAGAGGTAGTATGATTTACAATAATGATTATTCGTGCAAAATAAAGGAAAAGATCCTGGCCTTGCTTTCAACAGCGTTATTTTCTACACATAAATGGTATTTTTTTAAAAAAAAATACAGAAGACCTGCATCATTTATCTGAAATAGTGCAAATCAGACAAAAAGCATAACTGCCAGTCAAGCCATAATAATATTTTGTCTATTCAATAAACCCTGCCACCGTCTTTCTTAAATCATGGCGGCCACAGCTAAGGGGCAGCACAGAGCGGATCCTGGCTAATTTCGAAAACCTAAATAGGATTGGACCGAGTGGGTTCCCAGATAAGATGAAGACACGGCAGCCTGGGAAATTATTATTAATAATTGTTATTATTATTAATAATAATTATAATGCAAGGACAATGACGGCGTGAGATCGTCATATATCGCGGTCAAGTTACACCTAGGTGTGGTAGGAGAGCCGTGTTAGCGCAACTGGAGAAGGACTTTACCGGATCCTTCCCGATTGCTGTTGTTTCTTCTGTGTTTGGGATCTCTCGGACGCCCGTCGGATTTCTCAGGATGTCGCCGTTACTACCCTGTAAGCGCCCACCAGAAACTCTTTCTCTTTCTAAAGGCGAAGTATTAAACACCCCGGAAAGGGGGGTTGGGGGGGGATCAAAACTTCTTTCCTAAACCCGCCAGCTGAATCCCAGCCGCCCGGTTGAGTCCCTTGGTTGAGTCGAGCGGGCGGCTGCAAAAACCGAATCAATTTCTCCCTGCCCTGCAACGAATGAAACCGCACGAAGTGGAAACTCACCCGAACTTAAGCCGACTTCAGTCGGGAGGCAAGACAAGGCGCTTAAAAAAGCAGAACAGGCGGGGAACAAATAGGACGTCTCCCCGCGCTATCTGTTGCGCGCTGCTAACTCAGACCTGAAATAAGGGGAATGCGGGACGACGACACAGACCTTACATAGCTCCAGGCAGCCGCTCGGAAAAAAAAGCCAAAGGCGCTTTGCAGGAGCTAAGAGAAATCCGCTTCTCCCCGCACCCGTAGCGTAGAAGTGCAGCCCCGGAGTTCCCAAGCAAATCACTGCCGCCTCTCCTCCCTCTCTTCCCCCGCTCGCAGCCGGCGCAAAACGCGCCGCTTGCCTATCTTGCACGCGCGAAGCGGCCACTCCCCAGGGCGGCGGTGGGCGAGGCTCCGCCGGGTAGAACTGGCTCGTCGAAAGGCTAGGTAGGGAGCGAGCGAAGGCTCCGTCCCGTCGTAGTGTGGGAAAAGCAGACAGGCCCCTTTTCGTCTACCCGCGCAGGCCCTTATTGATTCGCTTTACGGCGGGAGGAGCCGGACTGCAGCTATGGCTATAACCGTCTGTGGAGATTCTCAGTCATCCAGGTCGTGGTTGTCCCAAAGGTGCTTTTTTCAGGAGGCAACTGGACTTTCTTGGGTTTTTTTTTTTTAAGACATTTTGTTATAGAATGGATCTAGCCCAATAACTCAAAGTACAAGTTATTATAAGTTTCAGATATCTTTTATTTCTTGCCTGGCTTGTCCCAGGCCTATCAGGTTAACATTTACTAACATCAAATCTTTCTATTACAGGTAGGTTCCTGGGTCTGGCTAATCTCCATGTGGACCCTGTGGGAGGAGCTTAAGGTAAGGTGTAGTCAAGGGGATGATGGGATGTGTGGTGGATTAACCCTTGCATGGCCCAAGGCTTGAGATTATGGTGAAGTTAGACATTTACCCTGACACATTTTGCTTCTCATCCAAGAAGCTTCTTCAGCTCTGACAGGACGGTGGGGAATGGAAGGATTTATATTCCTTGCAGACAGCTGGTCATTTGCATCCTTATAGAGGGTCATTGAAGCACTTGGAGGTTTATCTGTGTCCTCAGGGTCACCTGAGTAGTGCAAATGGTTCCTGTAGTCTGCAGTTTTTCTTCTGGAAATCCATTCCTACTCCCACACCATTCAAAGGGTGTTCATCCCAAATTGTATAGCTAACAGTCTGTAGAGATTTTCTCAGTCATCCAGGTCATGGTTGTCCCAAAGGTGCTTTTTCAAAAGGCAACTGGACTTTGTTTTTTGTTTTCCCCTTGAAGACGTTTCATTTCTCATCCAAGAAGTTTCTTCAGCTATAATTGGGTTATCCGGCTTTATTGAACCATATAGTTTATTTAACTATAACAACTATATAACTCAGGAGTGAAATGCTCCCGGTTTGGATCAGCTCGGGCGATTAGGTAGCGATGGCGGCGGGCAGTTCGGAGAACCAGTAGCAAAAATCCCTTCCCCCCCCCCCAGCTTCCAGCTTGCTTACCTTAGCTGCTGGTCATAACACCTACCTTACTTTGCTTGCTGTAATCCCTGCAATCATTGCATCAGCAAGCAAGTGAATCTCCCTGCCTGCAATCAAGCTCATCGGTGAGCAGCTCTATCTGCCTGCCTGCCTGCCTGCCTTGTCCCTTCAATTGGGTAAGTTTTTTTCTCCTTTGGGAGCTTTAAAAAAATAGTTAATTGGGGATTTTTTAGTTCTTTTTTTAGACCTAGCCATTTAAAGTTTAGGAAGTTTTAAATTTAGCTGCTTTTATATAAAAATAAAAATAAAATAAAATAATATTTGTGCAGGTTTCTGAGATTTTGTGTGTTTCTGTAGTGTTTCACTCTAACTACACAAAGACACAAAATCTCACAAAGCTGTATGTGGAATTTTTGTGTGTGTAAAGTGTGAAAGTTGGTTTTTTGGTTTTTTTGTGGCTGTGTGAGGTTCCTGCTTGTTGCAGGGGCCATTTTGAAGTCTAGCACAGCTGCTTTTACATTGTAGGTGAGCCAGTTGTGTTGTGTTGTGTTGTGTGTGTGTAAAGTGTGAAAGTTGGTTTTTTGGGCTTTTGTGGGGCTGTGTGAGGTTCCTGCTTGTTGCAGGGGCCATTTTGGGTCTAGCACAGCTGCTTTTACATTGTGGATGAGCCAATTGTGTTGTGTTGTGTGTGTGTGTGTAAAGTGTGAAAGTTGGCTTTTTGGGCTGTGTGATGTCCTGCTTGTTGCAGGGGCCATTTTGGGTCTAGCACAGCTGCTTTTACCTTGTGGGTGAGCCAGTTGTGTTGTGTTGTGTTTTGTAGGTTAAAAAAGGGCAACAAAGTGACATCGACTTGGCCACGCCCACCTGACCAACAAGCCACGCCTACCCATTAACTGACCACCAAGCCCCACCCACTAATTAAGCCACGTCCACAGAACCGGTAGCAAAAATTTTAAGTTTTCACCCCTGATATAACTGATGATATGGCTATAACCAGGAGTTCCAATAGAAGTGAGTCTCATAGCTCAGGGTTGAACTGTGGAGTCCTTGGTACTTTGCTTGCAGAAGTCTCGTGACCCAACTGGGTAACATCAGGGCCTAGCTGGGATTATGAAACATCTGCAAACAAAGCACCCAATTCCCAGAGCACCAAGGACTCACAATATAACCAGGAGTTGCTGCTTGATATGAAGCCCGCTTGCTTAGTAGTAGCCCTGTGCCGCTGGGTCCAGCTGCAGTCATCCGTGGATCTGCCTCAGGATCTTGGTGTGCTCTCTAACCCGCCATCTTCCCTACAGAAATCCCAGACCACCTGAAGTGCCCCTCCTGGCTCCTTCCCATGGGCCTGCTTGTCAGCACGGGGCAACCCAAACTAAACCAGACCAAACCTGGTTACTCCTTGGAGGAGAGACCACTAGGAAGGCGAAATAAACGCAGCCCAGCCAAAAACAGTGGTAAACCCACTCTGCTAGAGAGAAGTTTCTTGAAGGTGGGCTCCAGCATGTGTTCAAAAGCTCTGAAAGCCAGATCTGGCCCTAGCTTCTGCCTCAGTTTACCTTCCCAATAAGCAACTGAGTCGGAAGATCATTTAAAAGCAGTTTATTAGGGTACCCTGATAAAGTGGGATCTCTCAATGAAAAAGGAGAAAAAGAACCTCAAGCCACATGTTTCATTCTTTTTTATAGTTAACATCACAAAGAAAATACAAGAGGAAAGTTGGAGGGAATAAAAGTAACCTCCCCTTTGCATAAAAAATCACTTATATGTAATGAAACAAGCTATTTATTTGCATATTCATTAAAATGAGGTCTGACGTCAGAAGGGACATAAATTGTAAAGAAAAAGTTTACAACAGAGATAAACCAGACCCCAATTTGTACCAACAAACTTTTTCTTACTTGGAGCTCCAGCCTGTTTATCAGCTTTAGAATGTTAAAAGCGAATAAACCTGAATATTTTAAAAGAGAGAAAATAAATAAAATTAAAATGCAAAGTAACTATGTTAATTAGCAAGTTACAAAATCCATGTCATGTGCCCCTCAGCTCAGAAGACTAAACCTCTGGTCCCAGTGACTAACCCAGATTGGATCCTGCAACATTATCCTGGGACACATATGTTCGCCTTCATCAGTGGTAAATCCCTCCATTATTCCTGCCCAGACAAATACACAGATCTGCTTATATAGACTATAACAGCAGAGCTGGCTTCAAGGGAGACCATGCATTTATTGGTTCTGAGTTGTTGGAAACAACAACAACAAAGAGCAGGAACGACTTGGGAATTATAAATAAATAGGAATAAATAGACCCAGAATTCCAAATGGTTACATTTTGGGAGGCCAGGGTGAGCGGTTTATTTATTTTGACTGGTTGTTTATTATATCTTCTTTTCCTGTCAGGAATGAGGGAGAGGTTTATGGCTTTTCACCTCACATGGAAATATAATTGGTTTGGTTTGGTTATTCATTGCTCAGACTGAGATGGTAGGAGGATGGGCCTTCCTTCTGTGCTCCAGCTTAGAGGAGAAAATGTGTTGGGCCACCTATGGGCTTCCCTCATTCCCAATCTTGTAAATAAGAAAGGGTCCCACCTAAATCCCCCTATGTTTATCCACCACATTATTTCTTTTGAGTTTTTTTTAAAAAGGTATTTGCACAGTTAGTTACCAAGAGGAAATCTCACTGAACTGTTGACCAAAACTGATATATACTCTGAGTCAAACGTCTCTGGGGCATGCCATCTTTATGTAATTTTGGAATTCATGTAAAACAGAGATAGGAGAATGGAACAGTTATGAAATAGAACAGACCCAGACACGATGATGTCCTCTACCATCACTTGGTTTCATCGATACACTTCTCCTAAATGCTGCAGGGCCACACCCTTACCCATGGCAAGAATATGCTTTTCTCAGCTTGTAGCCACTTCTTCTTCCTTCACCTCAGTGCAAAGTTTCCTCTGTGTTGACTTTATGCAGCTGGAAGATCCCAAACAGTCCCATACTACAATATAGAAATGGCAGACTCTTCAGTTGTTAAAACAGCACCATCCTTAGTCATCCAGGTCATGGTTGTCCCAAAGGTGCTTTTTCAGGAGGCAACTGGACTTTCTTGTTTTTTCTTTGAAGACATTTTGCTTCTCATCCAAGAAGCTTCTTCAGCTCTGACAGGACAGTGAGGAATGGAAGGATTTATATTCCTTGCAGACAGCTGGTCATTTGCATCCTTTTTTATGGTCATTGAAGCACTTGGATATTTATCTGTGTCCTCAGGGTCACCTGAGTAGTGCTAATGGTTCTTATAGTCTGCAATTTTTTTCTGGAAATCCATTCATACTCCCACACCATTCAAAGGGTGTAATCCCCAATTGCAAAGCTAAAAGTCTGCACCATCCAGTCAGAGCTGAAGAAGTTTCTTGCATGGGAAGTGAAACATCTTCAAAGAAAAAAAAACAAGAAAGTCCAGTTGCCTGCTGAAAAAGCACCTTTGGGACATCACGTGTCTACGGTAGTTCCTTGCACAAGGGATCCCCACAGAACGAAAACTTCAAGGCACTGGAGGGAAGCACTTAGGTTTAGTGGTATAAATATAGGTAGTCCTCAACTTACGACCACAATTGAGCCCAAATTTTCTGTTCTTAAGCAGTTGGGGCAATTTTAATTACACCATGACCAGGTTGATGATCTTTACTATGGTGAATGGTCCCATAAACTTTGGCCCCAGTTTCTTGCTGGGGAGTTTTAACCTCAAGTATTTTGTGGAGGGGTAGACCTTCTCCCCCAGCTGGAATGGCCGTTGTGGGGCTCGGTGTTTGTCTCCCTGTTTCTTGTAGATTTGTGCCGCTTTAACTAGCACTTTCTTGACATTCTCCCAGGTTGCTTTCAGCGTTGACATCCAGTCTGTCAAGCTATACAAAGAGGAAACATGCCAGCAGTTTGGAGAGTGGTGTCAAGCTGGCCATGCCCACCCAGTCAGCTATGCCCAGTGAGTGGTGTCAAGCTGGCCATGCCCACCCAGTTGGCCCCCCGAGGTCAACCACAGCCCTGATGTGGCCCTCAATGAAATTGAGTTTGACACCCCTGCTATATATTATGAAAACATGGCCCAAATAGATAGTTTATGGCTCAGTGTATTATATTGCAGGAAATCCTTGATTTATAATGGCAATTGGGACTGGATTTTCCACCATTAAGCAATGCAATTGTAAAACAAGATAACATCATTTAGCAACGGCAACCCCTGCAATCCCAGTTGCTGTCATCACCAAATCAGTAGGTTGATGCACCTTCTGCCAGCTTTCAACATTCAACTCAGTGGGGAAGCCAGCAGAAAGTTACAACTCCCAGATTCTAGGAAAACTGTCCTGAAGACCGATCCAGACTGGATCCTACAACATTATCCTGGGACACATATATTTACCTTCATTTGTCTTAGTTTTTATTCAATACATCATAGTTAATCCTATCATCACATATCCTAGTATCTTAATCTAATTCTACTATCATGAAGACCAATGTCTAGGGTGCATCTGTGAGGGAACCACTCAGACGCATTCAGAGATATTTATTGTATAGAAAAAACATGTTGTAAATCCTGAAATGCAATTCCATGCATACTTAAGTTGGGACTACCGGTAAATTCCACAAACAAGGTCAGTCCTTTTGTCTGAATAAACATTGATCCTCTAAACTTATGTGACAGAAATTGGAGATTTACTTCACTTGATTGTTTGGCCTAGGTGAGGGAATGCCCTTCTCTTTCCAGCTTGTACCTTAAACAGGACAAATCCTAGTTTTCTGACCCTGAGTTTCTCCTCAAGGAAAGCTAAACATTATCTTCAAACACTGCATTTTTAAACCATTAAACATTATCTTAGTACTGTAAGTACTAAGGTAGTACTGTATCTGAAACTACAAATAAAGATAAAGTAGCAGCCAGTTCAAAAAACTTTCCAGTTTCTATGGTCTCCTAAAAGTCGAATGAGTAGGCCTTCACACAGTTTATACTGATCTTCTTGGATCCTCCTAGATCAATTACTGGAACAACTTTCTCAGAGCTAGAGCAAGCCTAAGCTTAAATAGCTGCAGAAGAGGCTTTTTCACAACAAGTAGAAGTTGAACTGTGGAACTTTTCCTGACTGCCACCTAGCCTAGGGGGTAGAGGAGTGAAAATTTATGATGCTTTATAAGCCATGATCGAAAGTTTAGCATACTAAGTGAGCTCAAGCCACTCTACAATCATGACATACTAAAGAAACATAGTTGAGACCTGGATGGAATATTAATTAAGTTGTGTAAATGCTGGGTATGTTTTTTAACCTAGCTAGAGTAACAATCACAGTTTCCTTGCCTTTTGATATGATAGTCCAGCATTAAAAGAAGGATACAAAAATTGGAAATGAATAATTAGGTCTTAAGAGTGTCAAGAGGAAGGAGGGAGAAAGAGAGAGGGAGAGGGAGGGCGGAGGGAAAGAAAGGAGGGAGGGAGGGAAAGGCAGGCAGGGAAAGAGAGAGAGAAAGAGGGAGAAACAGGCAGGGAAAGAGAAAGAGAGTACGAAAGGGGGGAGGGAAAGAGAGAAACGGACGGAGAGAAAGAGAGAGAGGGAGGGAAAGAGAGAGGGGGAAAGAAAAAGAGAGAGAGACAGAGAGAAAGAGAGAGACCAGTTCAGTCTCTTTGTAATTTGGTGATACCAAAATGTCAATCTGTAATGGATTTATTTCAGTTTCCCCATGTTCATGCTTCTTACCTTCTGTGCTCCCATGTTGTAATTCTGTCTTTGCAGCTTCAGATTTTCTGTTCTTACATGGCCATATCACCCGCTGGACCTCAGAAAGGTTCCATTCTAGGCACATCACAAACACAATACCGTTTACCTTATTGATTTATTAATCAAAACTGCATTCCGTTCTGAAAGAGCCTCTGCCTTCCCTCAGCCTGTTGAGTACCATCTCATTTGAAGGGGGCATTTTTAGCACTGCACTAAGAGTTGTTCTTAGTTTTCTTGATAAAATTGCACGAGTGGTTTACCATTGCCTTGTCCGTGCAGTATGAATTGATGCCTTTGTTGTTGTTACTGAAGTGATCATCTGGCATCTTCCTATATCGCTACTGCCCAATATAGGGGCCTGCTTACTTTACCTGGGCAACTGGGGTGATCCTACTTGCTCTATCACATTCTTGATATACATTTTTGGTGTGAAATTCACTCCCCCTTTCCCATTCACGATGATACAGAATACAGGTAGTCCTTGAGTTATGACTACAACTGAGCCCAACATTTATATTGCTAAGCAAGACATTTGTTAAGTGCGTTTTGCTCCATTTTACGACTTTACTTGCCACAGTTGTTAAGTGAATCACTGCAGCTGAAGATGGTTGGCAAGTGAATCTGGCTTCCCCATTGACTTGCTTGTCAGAAGGTCGCAAAAGGGAATCACATGACCCCGGAATACTGCAACCGTCATAAAGATGAACCAGTTGCCAAGCATCTGAATTTTTATTGTGTGACCATGGGGATGCTGCAATGGTTGTAAGTGTGAAAAACGGTCATAAGTCACTTGTTTTCATTTAATGACTTGTTTGAACAGTCATTAAATGAACAGTTATAAGTCAAGGACTACCTGTAATCCCATCTGCAATTATATTGGGCGGAACAGAAATACGTATAAATAGAGAATCTCTTCAGCTTTAAAGGGCACATCTGAAACCACCTCAATTTTACTTTCTTAGTCTGCGTTTCTGAGGAAAATATTTTTAATGGGATTTGTACCCAGCTGGGCTGTTTTATGAGCAACTGAGTGCACTGAATTTCTGATATATAAATAGCTCCAGGTTTCTGTGCTGTAATCACCACATGCAAAAATTCCACATTAAGCTCAAAATAATCGCTTGCACCAAAAAAAAAAAAAATTAAAAGAAGAAAATCATTAAAGCAGACAACTCATAAGGAAGATCATTGTGATTCAGAACTGTATGTTTATAATAAAATATAGCAGTTTAGGCAATATTAGGCCACTTTGCCTCTGAGAATGCTAGCCACAGTTTTCTAGGGCAGGGGTGGGCAACTGTGGCCCTTTTACAACCTGTGGACTTCAACTCCCATAGTTACCCACCCCTGTTCCAGGGAAACGTCAGGAAATCTGTTGTCTAGATCCTGAAGCCAGGATCTAGATAACAGCAGATCCCACCACTGGTCTGAATCTATCATCTCCTATCTTCCTTGTTTCTTTCTACATGCTATTTGCTTTTAACTTCTGGCATCTGCCTGGCCTAGATTCTGCAGTTTAATCATGGCAGGGTTTTTCAGAAGCAGTTTGCCATTGCCTTCTTCCTAGGGCTGAGAGAAGTGACTGGCCCAAGATCACTCAGCTGGCTTCGTGTCTAACAAGGCAAGACTAGAATTCACTGCCTCCTGTTTTCTCGGTCTGATGTCTTCACCACCACACAAAACTGGCTCTCTGCTTAAGACTGATGAATGGGATAATAAGGCATTTGGCAGTAACAAATAACCCAAGAGAAATACAGAAGTTTGTGTAATGCATGTTGTGTGGGCAAACCACAACTACATCCTCCTTTGCATTTCCTACAACGGATCTATAGAAAGGGAGAATGTTTTATTTAGTTATTTTTCAGTAAGGCATTTCAAACATCCAACTTTATAGGTGTGCATAACAGAGCAATAACCAAGTAAGTAGAAAGGTACTTGCAGAAGGTAAATAAAATAACAGCAAAAGAACAATAAAAGTAGGCCAAGCAGGTTATATTTAAATAAAAATGAAAACACTATATAAAAAAGCTATTTTTATGCCCCTATTTTTATGTCTATTGCCCAGAATTTATCCATGATTATTTTTTAAAAAAATAGAGTGTGATTCATATATATGCAATTTTTACTTTTTTGCAGAGAATGCCATATACCGTATTTTTTGGACTATAAGAGTATAAGACGCACCAAGATTTCGAAGAGGAAAACAAGAAAAAAAAGTTTTTGGCCTTCGTGTGTCCAGTTTTTGCCCTCCCCGACCCCCAGGAGCACTCTGCAGGCCTCCCAAACCCTCTGTGCAAAAAACAGGCCCGTTTTTCATGGAAAACGGGTGATGCACCGACATTTCTACCCTCTTTTGGGGGGGAAAGTGTGTCAGTGGTGGGTTGATACTGGTTCGGTCTGGATCTTGCGAACCGGTAGTAACGGCAGCGGGAGGCTCCACCTACCCGCCTGGACATCATCACAGATGCTATGCGCATGTGCAGAAGTGCGCACGCTCCAATTGCAAATCGGTAGCGAAGGTAAGTGGAATCTACCCCTGAAGTGTGTCTTATACTCCAAAAAGTATGGTAGATAAAAGAAATAATTCTTTTCTCCTCCTTGTTTTGAAGTAGTTGCCTTTTGGAAGTCAACAAATTTTAATCCAATAATTTGTCATCGCCAAGAGAATTCTTGTATTTTCATGATCTTGGTGAGAGTTCTGATGGACTGGTTTTAACCAGACAAGCTAGCTGTTCAAGTTTGGAATAAATTGAGAATTATTGCAAAATTGTAGAAAGGTATATTTTCCCTTCAACTTAATAGTTCCTTTAGGTTCTACTGTGCACTAAACAAGCAGCTTACAATGAATCTTTAACCATATTTACACAGGTATACAGCTGGTCCTCGACTTACGAACAAAATTGAGCCCAAAATTTCTGTTGCTAAGCGAAACATTTGTTAAGTGAATTTTGCCCCATTTTACAACCTTTCTTGCCATAGTTGGTAAGTGAATCACTGCAGTTGTTAAATTAGCAACATGGTTGTAAAATGAATCTGGTTCCCCATTGACTTAGTTTGTCCGAAGGTCACAAAGCCCAGGATATGGCAACCGTCGTAAATAAGAGCCAGTTGCCACTTGTCTGAATTTTTATCACATGACCATGGGGATGCTGCAATGGTCATAAGCATGAAAAAAGGTCTTAAGTCACTTTTCAACTGTAACTTCAAACGGTCACCAAACAAATGGTTGCAAGTCATTTGTATACTTGTGATCCTCTTTTCTTATGTTTCAGAAAATGTTGATCAACTTTTGTTTTATTTTTGCAGTTGAACTGCCTCAAGGACACTACATACACGTAAGGATTCTTATTGGGTGCCCAAAATTCAGTGAAAATCACTGCAGTGAAAATCATTGCAGAGGAAGCCTTGGTAGTACAGTGGTCTAAGGCACCCTGTTATTAAGCTGGTTATTAAGACCAGCTGCCTGCAATTACTGCAGGTTCGAATCTCGCCAAGGCTCAAGGTTGACTCAGCCTTCCATCCTTTCTAAGGTAGGTAAATTTAGGACCCAGTTGTGAGGGCAATAAGCTGACTTTGTATAAATATACAAAAGAATGAAGGCTATTGCTTAGCGCTTTGTAAGCCGCCCTGAGTCTCCGGAGAAGGGCGGCATATAAATCAAATTTTAAAAAAAATAAAAATCGTCTGCTCCAAAACATAGAAAGAAGAGTGGGTAAGATGATCAAGTAGGGGTAAAGAAAGGAGTGAGAATTACTAATATTAATCATTTAATTATGTAAGAAGATCCCCACACTTTGAAAGCACTACTTAATGTCTGAAGCTAACACACTTTACCAGTAGCCTGAAATATGACTACAGTAGCTTGTCTCAATTCTGTAGACTATATCCGTAGTGGAAATAATACTTATTAGTCATGTGCTTTGATTCTTGGAGCAGGCCGTAGTGAACGTTTGAGTTTGCATTAGGTAATTCTGAAATGTTTATTAGTGAAATTGGAAAAGGAAGATACTATCAGAAAAATATAATTCTTTATCCAATATTGGGGGGCAAATCTTGACATAATTGACATCATTTTTGGTGTTTATTGTTTTGATTGATATATTAGAGATTTTGCTTTGTTTCTTTTTACTTAGGGTGTCTGCCCAGTACAATGTGATTTTGGTGAGTTGGTTTCCACCAGGCTTCTATTCCTTTTTTCCCTGAATTGACTCTATACATTTACTTTACTTTACTTTACTTTTATTTGATTTCTATACCGCCCTACTCCCGAAGGACTCAGGGCGGTGCACAGCCAACAATAAAATACATACATACAAAATTTAAAAAGTCCCTGATCCTGTTGGTCTAAACTTCCTTCTTTTTGGTGATACTGAAAGGCATTATTTTTATTTGCCCTGTAGCATCAAAGGGGGGATTAAATGACATGGGTTTTGTAATTTGTTAACTAACATAGTTACTTTGTATTTTAATTTGATTTATTTTCTCGCTTTTAAAATGATATCAGGTTTGTTAGCTTTTAACATTCCTAAACTGATAAACAAGCTGGAGACTAGCTCCAGATAAGAAAAAGTTTGTTAGTACAAATTGGGGATTTTTTTGTGAACTCCAAACAACCTTTTCCCTTACAATTACACCCCTTCTGATGTCAGACCTCATTTTAATGAACATCTGTGATATTGTGGGATGCAAATATGTAACATGTTTGACTGCATGTAACTGATTGCCTGTGCAAAGGGAAAGTTACTTTTACCCTGTCCAATCAACTTTCCTCTTGCATTTTCTTTGTTGTTTTAACTATAAAAAGGAATGAAACATGGGGCTCAGGGTTCTCTCTTCCTTTTTCATAGACAGATCCCACTTTATCAGGGTACCCTAATAAACTGCTTTTAAATGATCTTCCAACTCAGCTGCTTATTGAGAAGGTAAACTGAGGCAGAACCTAGGGCCAGATTTGGCTTTCAACATGCTTTGATTACTGCTGGATTTCTAGTACTGTATTGGTATCCTCACTATTTTCAAGTTAGTAGAAGTGTTAGAATCTCAGTGGAAATTCTACAGTGGAATGAAATTCATTTATTGGATTTATATTTTTTCATGATTAAATGATTAAATACTGTGCTAGTACAATAAGCTACTGTGCTAATACAATAAGCTACTAAGCTTGTAAAATTTATTGTCTTGGGAGTAGGCATAGGTTAATGATCTTTTTTCATAATGCATAAAAAAACATTCCAAATAACCTAGATTTGAGTTATGCTACACTTTTTCCGCCTTCATTATGCTATTGTGATCTATTTATTTCCTTTCTCCCTAACTTTAAATACATATAAATCTTTCAGAGCAGTAAATTTATGATGAAACAATGCCTAAGTGGAACAACCAAAGAAAAGAAACATAATTAAAATGCTTTGTGGAATGCGGTCTCTTCGGAATCTGGTTGTCCCCAATCCAGTTAGTGTTTTGTAAGGCTCTGCAGTCCTGGTTGTTTCCTCAGGGTTCAGGCAAGGAAGCTAGGCAAGCTCGTTTGATGATGAGATGTTATGATTGGAATGTTTTGTGTGTCTTGGACATCCTGGCCTTTAACTATTGAGTTTTTAATCTTTGTATACCATTGATTGTTTATGTGCCGTCATGTCGTTTTGGATTCCTTGTGATGACTGTACAGATAGATCTTCTCCATGATGATCTGTCCTTAACCTGGTCTTTTAGGTCCTGCAATGGTGCTCATAAATATTATAACTGAGCCCATCCACCTCAAGGCTGATAGTTTTCCCTCTTCTCTTTCTTTTCACTTTTTCCTGATTTGGACACTTTTCTAGAGAATTTTATCTTTGCATAATGAGTCCAAAATAGCATAATTTGAGCTTGGTTGTTTGCACCTCAAGTAAGAAATCTGGGTCGATTTGTTAGATAATCCATAATCCAAAATTTCCTTTCTTGGCTGTCCATGGTATTCTTGGGAATCTTCTCCGTCATCGAAGTTCAAAGGCTTAAATTCTTAAATCTGGTTTCTTCCAAGTCCAACTTTTACTTCTGTAGACTGTCATGGGCATATTTTGGCTTGCACGATTCTATCTTTATAGGCATAGATACCTCATGGCATTTCAATATCTTTTCTGAGGCCTTCATAACTTCTTATGTAATATATAACAATAACAGAGTTGGAAGGTACCTAGGAGGTCTGTTAGTCCAACCCCCTGCTCAAGCAGGAGACCCTATTCCATTTCAGACAAATGGCTGTCCAATCTCTTCTTTAAAACCTCTAGTAATGGAGCACCACAACTTCCGAAGACAAGCCATACTGATTAATCGTTCTAACTGTTCCTTGTTCCTACTGTAATTCTATCTTTGCAGCTTCAGATTTACTTTTCCTGTATGGCATCATCAGCAACTAGGCATCTCAAAGGCTTTCATTTAGCAACATTATAAGCACCATTAGAACTCTGAAAGAGCTTCAGCAATTCCCCAGTAGCTTGTTGAATACCATTTGACCTGAGGGGCTCATCAGTCAGCACTATATTGTGAATCATTTTATATTTTCTATCCATGTAGTTTTCTTGGTAAAAATACAGGAGGGCCTTACTATTGCCTTCTCCTGCACAGTTAAAATTGATGCCTTTGCCATTGTCACTAAAGGGATCATCTGCCTCCAGCATCTTCCAATATCGCAGCTGTCCAATATAGGTTCCTGTCGCTCTAGCTGGGTAGCTGGGATGACTTTGACACCTTGAGTGACCCTGCTGGGTATCTGTAGTCTTGATATATACTCCTGACGTTCTTTATTTATTCCTCCCAGGAATGCTTACTCATACACATATGTACAAACTGCCTGTCAGCCTGACCGTCTTAGCTTCCCTTCAAGCTTGCTGCCAGCTGCCATGGAAACAGAGGGGGGAGCAATGAGTATTTGGGAGGGGAAGCGTGCAGGAGATGTAAGAATGGGTTTTCTGAGAAGAGATGGGGAAGATCTGATCTCAGACAAGCCAGCTTGGGTTGTTTATCATCTTCAAGGCCAACTATCTTGGGAAAGCCAGGCAGAAAGGAGGACTGGTGCACCTGGACCAGAGGCATTCCCAAAACATCTTCCTGGCCGACGATTAAACTCTAGTTGCTTGGCTACTGGGCTCTGGAGTTATTTTCAATTTGTCTTTTCACGTGTGTTGGCTTCAGACCTTGCCTGGCTTTTGCTGCAATCAACTCTTTCCTAGTAAAAGTATCTTTTCTCTGAATCTATAGAGTCGAGGGTTTTCTTTCTTGGGGATTGATCGGAGGCAGCCCTGACACTGTCATGATGAGGTAGCAAAGCAAGACCCTTGAAGGAATGAGCAGCCATACCAATTAGATCAGAATAGAGTTCCTTGGGACATTGGAGGTCTTCTAATACAGCTCCCTGCTCAAGCAGGAGACCTTATACCATTTAAAGTGACTTCCAGTCTCTTCTTTAAAACCTCCAGTGATGAAGCACCCACAATGTCTGAAGGCAAGCTCTTCCACTGGTTAATTGTCCTCACTGTAGGAAGGAAGGGAAGGAGGAGAGAGAGAGAGAGAGAGAGGGAGAGAGAGAGAGAGAGAGAGAGAGAGAGAGAGAGAGAGAGAGAGAGAGAGAGAGAGAGAGAGAGAGAGAGAGATGCTTAGTATATAGTACTGTTAAACCTTTATATTGGAAGTAGTTTCTCTTTAATAAATCAATAACTTTTTAAATGTTGATGTGTGAATCTTAAATATTATTTTGATAATGATTTCGATTCCCCTGAATCTAAACCTTAGTGAGTCAGAATATCACATAAGGAAGCTTTCCCATGATTAAATGTCCTCAATGCTTCCTAAACCCAAAGTTTAATACATTGAATTAATGTTTACATCGGGTCAAATTGTTCTTTTCTTCGTTCTAAAAGATGCAAAATATACTCCCTGTCTAGGAAGAATGGATTGCTTGAATAGTTCACAGAGTTGCAATAGTGGAGATTTGTTGGTAGCTGATTTGCTCATTTTGCAATCTTTTTTTTTTTTTAATCTGCTCCAAAATACTTCCACTGTAGGATGTGGCCATCATAACCTCATCTGTTATCGAAGATCTATCTGAAAAAACTGATGGTGCCTTGAAAACATAATGAGACCACAAGATAGTACTTTGAAAGCAAATTCCCTTGTCACCTTTCGGTCAGAATTAGAGAACCCATCCCAAAAAGTCCATTCCCAGTATCCTTTTATTGCTGTGTGATACATTTGCCAGTCATTAGTTTGTGTAGCTTGAACATTATTGCTTTTAACTAATACTTCAGATTTATCAGAGAATCACAATGAACTAGTACGCGGTTATTTCTACCAACACCCAATAGCTATCTATAAAATAGCATGGATGTCAGGGTTCCAAGTAACACCCCCAACGAAAGAAAACTCTGAGGCTCGAGTTTCCTCAAAGTTCTATTTTATTAGAGATGTCATATTGTCACATCTGGGAAAACCCGAATCTGAAAGCTTCCAGGTTTTCCCCATCCAAAGGAAAGTTCAAGTCCCTGCCCAACACCCATAAATCCATCACATGGTCCACTCAATGCACCATTCCAACTGGAGATGCCTTCCAGGTGCAGGGCAAGATGTCCTGGACTTTCTGAGAAAGGAATGTTATTATGACTATATATCACTCTGGCTCCATACAATCCTCCCTCCCAGTTTCCCACAGTAGTAGTGAATGTAGCAGGCCTGAAGATCCAACGAAAAAGATGACTTCCAGGCCCGACAATGGAGCTCATGAAGTATCTTCTATTTCATCTCAGCCACAAATATACAACCATGAATTATGAATAAGGTTTCAAATTAATGGAATATTATTGAAGAGGTGCCCAAATCAACAATGCTCTTTTTCCTTCCAATGTAACTGTCTCTTAGGAGCTAGTTGAAGTATAGAAAGTGATGTTGGAAATGCCACTTGACCAATATAATCTTTTCCTGCCTTGGTAATCAATGTGCCCTCCTGTTAGCAAACCCTCTCAGCTCTAAGCAGGTTTATACATGCCAGGATCTGCATTACTGCACATCCAAAGCTGATTGTCCCAAGCTGATTCCCATTTACCTAGAAGTTAGTGCTGCTGAACCCCATGGGACTTATTTCTGAGTAGATCCACATACAATCATGTGCAATATTTTAAGTGCAGTCTTACCAAGGCATTATAAAGTACCACTTTATAATGCCTTGGTAAGACTACACTTGGAATATTGCACCCAGGTTTGATTGCCATGATATCAAAAAAGATGTTGAGATTCTAGAAAAAGTGCAGAGAAGAGCAACAAAGATGATTAGGGGACTGGAGGCTAAAACATATGAGGAACACATTGATCCTTTTGGACCTTAAAAATCTCTCTCTCTCTCTCTCTCTTTCAAATTTGACAACTTCAATTTTAGGAGTTGAAATCCACACCTCTTAAAGTTGCCAACTTTGAAAATAATGGCTCTTGATATTCTCATTGCACTTGATTCTATTCAACTCTGTGTGTTCAGTTCAGCTTGGTCTACTACAGTAAATGAACTGGATAATTCCACCTTAAGGTTGCTCAACATTTTTAAAATATATTTATTTATTTATATTAATACTGTACTTTTTAAAAAGTGGCAGGGCCAGCATGAACGCAAAAGTACGTGCAGCTCAACTTGCGGAAGTCCAGCACATTGGCCGGACTGCCATTCGGCCAACTCAAGCTGTGCGCATCCGTGCCAGCCTGCCACTCATGCAGCCTGGTTCTGAATAAGCCATGGCCTGTTAGTGGACTGCAGCCTGGGGATTGGGGGACCCCTGGCATATGGAACACCATATATGCTGATGGATCCATGAAAATGCAGGTTAGCTTGCTTTCAGATCATACATTTTTTATGGTACAGTATTTTTGGCTAAACATTTGAGAGGTAGCTTATCTGCAGATGGGCTGGTACGTGTTTATAGTTAATTAAATTAATTAAGTTAATTAACAAATACATACGTTTATAATGATAGTTTTTATATTGTGATTTGATTAGTTTATGTCGCCCAGAATAACTTCTGACAACTATATAAATCTGAAAAGAAATAAAGAAAAATGTTTTCCATTTTCTTTTCTTTCTTTCTTTTTTGAATAAAGAGATTGTGACAGTAGCGTCGCTAACTGTTTATTCAATCTCATGTTGCTGTAAGTGAAACAAGGAACTGTTTCCCCAGTTCAATCCCACTGAAGGCTTTCAAAAATTCTGGCATAAGAACAGAGCAGAGTATTTATTAGATGGGGTGGGTGTGGAGGTTAACAAATGTTTATTTTTATTCAGGTAGAATAAAATATGAACACTTCACTTGAGAACTGAACTCCATTGCAATCAAAGTGTTTTCCTAAGGAGATGGCCAACACCCGAGAATGCCGTTCAGTCCACTCTGTGTGTTTCCTTATGTGGAAACAACTGAATTCCATCAACTCTTTGGGAGGAGAGGGTGGAATTTGGTTCTGGTCCAGGCTCCAGAACAATCATTGGCTATTTCCCCATTACCGTGGATAATGTACCATTACTTTATCTTTTTATTGCCTTTTTATTTAAGAGAACAGCATCACTAAAAGAACCTAGACAATGATGAAGAAAAATATTTATAGTCTTCAACACAAAGACCAGCACTTTAAATATCAATACTGATATTATCTATTGCAAATAATGTTTTAAGGAAGAAGAGAAATGGTGAGCAGACTTTAATAAATCAATCTTTAATTGTAAGATTCCTCCAAGATACTACACACACATATATAGTTCTAAAAATGCCTTTTCAGTGTGTTGTCATACAATTTGTCAGTTAACAAAAGGAATTAAAATAATTTCTAATTCACCTTCAGCATGCTAATGACCAGATGACTACAAACAGTATAAATCCTTCCATTCCACATCATTCAATCAGAACTGAAGAAGCTTCTTGGATGAGAAGTGAAATGTTTTCTAGGAAAAAACCAAGAAAGTCCAGTTGTCTTTTGGAGAAGCACCCTTGGGACAGCCATGACCTGGATGAGTGAAAATTTCCATTGAAAATCCCTAAAATACTAATATGATACACTATCATATAAAATCTAGAAAACTGGACTATAAATCCATAAATTTAACTGCCAAATTTACTGATAATTTCCTAAATAGGAGTTACATGCTAGTGCTATTACCATAATTTCGAGCTCTCTTACTGTTTCCATTAATTCTGTCTAAAACTATTCTTACAACAGTTTTGAACCCAAGAATTTGAGGATGGCAAACTGAACTAGATTATCCATTAGAAACAAGAATAATAATGTCCAGGATTTATGAATTTCCCAGGGTCTCTGAAATAGTTTGACTCTAAAATAACCCTCAGAAAATGAAAAGAAATGACAAAAATGCTTTATAAACACATATATTGTATACAGACTACAAGTATGTATACACACAATGATTAACTGACCGAAGTTTTAATTATCATGAGGTCTTACGTCATGTGAAATTCACCATAGAATCCTGTCGCTACTGATTCGCTCGTGGGCACGCTCGCACGTGATGCTTCTGCGCATGCGCAGAGACGTCCGGGTGGGTGGGCAGAGACTCCCGCTGCCACCGCTACCAGTTCGCCCGATCCGGGGCGAACAGGTAGCAACCCATTACTGATTAGGGAGCTGGAGACTAAAACACATGAAGAATGGTTGCAAAAATTGGATTTGTCTAGTGAAAAGAAAGACTAGGGATGACATGATAGCAGTGTTCTAATATCTAAGGAGCTGCCATAAAGAAGAGGGCTATTCTCCAAAGCACCTGAGGTAGGACAAGAATCAGTGGATGGAAACTAATCAAGGAGAGAAACAATCTAGAACTAAGGAGAAATTTCCTATCAGGAAGAACAATTAATCAGTGGAATTGCTTGCCCTCAGAAGTTAGTTACTTAGGAGGAGGTCTCCTTGAGAGTAAGGCTTGAGACTAATTGGCCACTCCCTTAGCCTATTTAAGTTCGCTCACAGATAGCAAATGCTGCTGGAAACAATGTTTAATTACTATGCAGAGCATTTTGAGAGTGAGTCTCTTGTTACATCGTGGTTTGCCAACCGTTGTTGGACTTTGTTTATTCTCTGTAATTCATAGCAGGCTGATAAGGACATTTGCACTGAAAGCCTGCATTTTGAAAGGGGTCTGTTTGTATTAAACTGAGTTTTTGGAGCTTTGTGTGTGTCACACTCCTTGGGATCCGGAGCTGGGGCAGAACAATAC